GCTAAAAAATAAAAAAATAAAAAATAAAAATAAAAATAATAAGAAAAATTATGACGAACCTGAAAGTCATCGAAAACATTTTGTTTATTGTGCAACATTCCTGCTTTATGCCATTGTTCACCATATTCACCGCCACCACGAAGATTAGCGACAGCAACAATGCCATTATAATGCTTAATAAAGTTCAACCAAGAAGTAGAAAATGATGGTGATAAACTAATATTGAATCCTCCATATCCATATAATAGCGTAGGGTTATTGCCATTAAAATCGATATGCTGTTTGTTATTTACAATTAATTCAAAAAAATTAGGATATTATTGCTAAAATACCCCGATCACTATCTCAAGATAAATAGTCAAACCTTCGGTGAAACAATAAAAACGGGAATTTTAGTCTTATCCTTGCTCTCAATGAAGACTTGTTTTGTTTCAAATAAATCACTGTTAAATCCCTGAACTTCAGTAGTTCGATATTCTGACAATTTCTCCTTTGTAAAATTGTACCGATAAATGATACCAGGATTCAAATAGCTAGTAAATTTAAAGAAAAACTCTGAATCTTCCCTTCTCCCCGCAACTGCTTCTATTGATCCTATAGGGATTGGCAAATCTTTAATATGCTTTCCGGTGGACAAAGAATGAATTGATACTTTTTCTTTCACGTCATGCATATATACAAGAACGAGATTTTTTTCTGCAATTGCGTCTGCTGAAGAAAGAACATCTGCTGGATGTTCTTTGATGATGTCAATAAAACCCTAAGGTAAGTTAGAGATGTTATACGTAAGAAATTCCTAAATGAAGGAACAAATAAAAAGAAAAAAAAAATAGTTACGTCATCGGGTCGAGATAAATCATATTTTACGACTTTATATCGGGGTGCATTTAAAGTAGTCATGAAATAAAATATTGTTTCATCATTTGTAATACTAGAAAAAAAAAAAGTTAAATAGTGGAATCTATTATAAATTATTTTAATTAGAATCTAGCTTACTATTCAAATTCGGCATCAAAGTTATCAACAATTTTGAGAAAGTCGAAATTTTCTGGTTTGCAAATGACAATAAATTAGTGACAAAATTTAAATTGATTATATTTAAATATATTATATGAGAAATATCAGATATATACCAACGATTCGACGATTAATTTTTTCTAAATCAAAGATCCATAATTTATTTACACGATCACAATCTTTTAAAACTTTGAGAATTACGTAGCGACCATCTGTGGAAACGACAATTTCATACATATACTCAGGGTTGCTTGGGTCTTTATAAATTAAAATATCATCAGACTGAGGAGTGCCTAATTTATGATAGTAAAGCTTTGATCGCAAAAAGAAAAAATTTAGAACAATGATAGTTCAAATTTATCAAAATATATTAAAGTTTTATATTTACCATTTGATTGTGATTCGAGTCTGTTTCGGTGCCTTTATCATCACTTTTGCCAGGTTCAGGATATCTCTGTAAAGATAAGAAATATATTAATAATGCATAGATAAGAAGTTTATTATTACAGAGTAACTCATTAAAAGTACATTATAGAAAAAACCAGCTTCATCATGGGTCCAACTAAAGTATGAGAATTTAATCCATTCGATCACATCATCCAATGGTAATTCGTTTTTGTCAGTTGTTTTCACATATGCTGTAACCCAATCACTTCCTGAAAATAATGAGCGAATATAAAAATAATAGATAATTTAAATTTATATACATAATATTGAGGAGCCAGTAATCAATGGATAATACAAACCCGATTTAGAGATGCCATAGGCAAAGTATTTGCCATGTTTTGAAAAGGAGTACGTATTAAGGGCAGCGGTACCATCTGCTTCAAGAACATTTGGCTATAAATTATAATAAGAGAATTGTTAAAAAGATCGAATAAAAAATAAAAATAGAATAGAATTAAAAATACTTGCATTGAAAAATTCTTCACGTGGGGAATCAAGGGAGTTTCTCAATTGGTATAAGACGCTATAAATCATGACAATGATATTGATAAATAAATCATATTAACTTAAAGATAAAAAATACAAATTAACTAATACCTTTGAGGTTGTAAACCGGTATTATAAAAGTAATAATAGTGACTTCCATATTTAAAAGGACAACCATACTTTTCATAGTCATAAATTTTAGTTAGGCTAAGATATTTAAATTAGATAGTGAATAAACGTTT